ATGATTAACCTCATCCTTCATAAATCCATCCGCTGACACGTCTAATCTCAAGTATCTGAAAACATTCACTTCTTCCATACTCCTCCTCCACAATTTGATATCCAATTTTTCTTTATTTAAATCATTTGATACTCTCATCACCTTACTCTTTTCTATGTTCACTTTCAACTTTCTACCATTACACACACTCCCAAATTCGTTCACTAACCTTTGCAATTTTTCTTTAGAATCTCCCTTAAGCACAGTATCATCAGCAAAAAGTAACTGTGTCACTTCCCATTTTGTATATAATTCCCCATAATTTAATCCCATCCCTCTCCCGAATACCCTAGCATTTACTTCTAGCATAATAAATGTGAATACATATATCAATCAGTTTACTTTTATAAACAAAAGCTTGGTGAAGGAGTTGTCCTCTGTATTATGAAATGTATTTATTACTGAAATTTATCTGTATTTATTAAAATAAAACATGTTTTATATCCACTCCACATAAATTAGAAACAACCAGAATGAGGAAAATTTTTAACCAGTTTAATTAAACATTGATGTGAAGAATTTGATTGCAATGATTCAATACTAAATACCCCACCAACGTACTTATTCATAAAAGAAGTGGACACAGCAAATTAAAATCAAACTTGCTATAAAGAAAACGAGAAAACCCGAAATCATGCCTTGCACAAACGCCAATGCACAACCTTTCCCAAAATTTAAAGTTGCACCAGGATCGCCAGATTTCCCAGCCCATATGTGGCTAAACTGTTTTTCCAAAATGCCAAAAAAGTCAACATCATTGTGCAAGTGATAATTACCAATATGAATTACCACTGAATGGGAGTAAATATCACTATTTAGCTATGCTAGAATACTGTATTCCATTCAGTGTGTACATTCCATTCAGGTAGAATTATGTATTTATCCCGCTCTTTTGTACCACCTGATCCTGAACGTGGTAACACCTGTTATTTAACTTAGCTTTCTCCTGAAGTCCGTGGTCCAACTACAACACTCAGAAGGTCCAGATTCAGACTGTGGGCCCCCAATTGAGTAGCCCTGCTCTGAGTTTTAGTATTGCTTATCACTGGCCATGTACCATGTCTAGCAGGTATAAGAACATAAGAAAGAAGGAACACTGCAACAGGCCTACTGACCCATGCGGAGCAGGTCCATGTCCCCCCCCCCCAGATTAAATCAATGACCTTCCCCCCCCTGGATTAGCCCAATGACCCACCTAGTCTGGTCATCTCCACTCAAGGATGGAGCACTGCACCAGACCCAGCAGCACAAGCTAGTCAGGTCCAACTTGCACCCATCCACACTCACTCATGTATTTATCTAACCTATTTTTAAAATTACACAACATTTTAGCCTCAATAACTGTACTCGGGAGTTTGTTCCACTCGTCCACAACTCTATTACCAAATCAGTGCTTTCCTATATCCTTCCTGAATCTGAATTTTTTCCAACTTGAAACCATTGCTGCGAGTCCTGTCTTGGCTGGAAATTTTCGGCACGCTATTTACATCCCCTTTATTTATTCCTGTTTTCTATTTATACACCTCGATCATATCCTCCCTAATTCTACGCCTTTCAAGAGAGTGCAGATTCAGGGCCCTCAGTCTATCCTCATATGGAAGATTTCTGATACATGGGATCATCATTGTCATCCTCCTCTGTACGTTTTCCAGAGCATTTATATCCATTCTGTAATACGGTGACCAGAACCGAGCAGCATAGTCTGAATGAGGCCTAACCAAGGATATATAGAGTTGAAAAACAACCTGAGGACTTCTATTATTTATACTTCTGTATATGAAGCCAAGAATTCTGTTAGCTTTATTGCAAACACTAATGCACTGTTGTCTTGGTTTTAGATTACTGCTAACCAGAACTCCTAAATCCTTTTTGCAATCAATAGTATTAAGATCTACATTATTTAGTTTATATGTGGCATGGTTATTTAACTGCCCAACATTTAGAACTTTGCATTTGTCAATATTAAACTGCATCTGCCACTTCTCCGACCATTGCATCAGTCTACAGTGTATTCACATCATCCTGGAGTGCTCTAGTGTCCTCATTAGAATGAATTGGACGGCCTATTTTGGTGTCATCGGCAAATTTGCTTATGTCGCTATTTATTCCCTCATCTATGTGGTTTATGTAAATTGTGAACAACAACGGGCCCAACACTGACCCTTGAGGAACACCCCTTGTGACATGCCCCCATTCTGATTTCTCCCCATTTATGCAAACTCTCTGCTGTCTGTTTGTCAGCCATGCCTCTACCCAGGAAAAAATTTTTCCTTGTATTCCGTGTGCGATATGTGGCTTACCGAAAGTGCATCATGACTTTGTTTAGCTTATCCTAAATTTATATACAATGTGTGCAATTTCTGGGCAACCAACTCGTCTGTTCAGGAACACTTGGGGTCAGTTGAATGGCTCTCACAATGCCAGTGAACCAAACAAAAAGAACGATGAGCACCATCAGGAATCCTTGAGGCGCAGAATATCACAAATCATGACTAAGAATGCAGGTCCATAAAGGTCTTGTTCAAACGAGGTTATGGATATAAAGTAATGACATACAGTAGGTTCAGTTTAAGAGGTGGGACTAAAAACTGGGGCTGCCCCTCCCCGGCAAACTCGGATAAATGCAGTAATTATAAATAGGTAATTATCAGTGTATCCCCATGGCCACACAGAGGAGGCAACCCTACTGCATAGAACTTCTAGCAGACATGTCAGCTTTGAAACCCCCCAGTAGGCATGAGATCCAGTGCCTTCTTCATGTGAGAAGCATAGTGGCATTTGAAAAAAGTTAATGAAGGCCTACACCCTTGGATCCTCATGCACACAAAAGAGGGAGAAGATGGAGAGGCATTCCAGAGGTAAAATGCTCGACATATGCTGCTAAAGAGCCCTCTCTTTATGGAGGAATAGCCAGCAGAAGTCAGTGAGAGAGAGCATGGATTAATACTCAACAGTAAGAGGGAGAAATTTACTGTGGCTAGTGTAGGTGAGCCCATTTCTGAATGGAGGTATCACCTGAATAAGAGTCATAAAGTCCAAATGGCAAAGAAGAGAACCAGTGGAAATCCAAAGTCTCCTCATGATGCTTGGAGAGATTTCAAGTATCCACTTGCATTAAATGTTCCTGTAAAAGGTATGTAATATTTTTACAACATTCAAAACTTGTGAATTAGGTGGGCATGGTCACCAGGCATTTTAACCCTTTCAGGGTCGAGAGGCCCATTCCTAAACTTGTTCTCAGGGTTGCAAATTTTTCAGAAAAAAAAAGATTTATTTTTTCTTATGAAATGATAGAGAATCCTTTCCCAATCATAATGACACCAAAAGTATGAAATTTGATGGAAAACTTACGGAATTATGCTCTCGCGAAGTTAGAGGTCTCGACGATGTTTACACATCGGCAATTTCGCCCAATTTGAGCCCTATTTTCGGTCAGTTCCAGTGTACTAGTTGACAAAAATATCTATTTCACTAGAACTCCATTTTTTCTATTGAATGAGTACAAAAAACCACCCATTTACCGATTTCAACTATCCAATAAAGTGGTCAGAAGTTAGCAATTTTGCCAATTTCATACAAATTTCAGAAGATGCCAATTTCGAAATAGGGTCCAGAATAAACAAGACAGACATTTCCGGCACTAAAATAACATTTTCTCTGTTCGTTAGTCACATCCCCAGGCCCCTCTTACAACTCTTGCTTTCCACTTTAAATTTTTATTCTCACAAAAAAAATAGAAGATTTACTGTTATGCAGACTACTGCATTAGTGTAGAAATGGTGTAGAAATGGTATAAATAATATCAGCGCACATGTGAAAGAATATTAGACTCACCAGTTGACGTGTATTGGACGCTTGGCATGATTTGTTTTTACTTTTGAACTTTGGTAAAAATTTAACATTTCTGCTACTTTGAGCTCAGTTTCAAGGTACTTCTCATTATGAAACCAATCAAAATCATCTCAATTTCTGTAATATGTCTTCCATTCTATAAAATGAGACCAGGAAAACTAAAATACAACCATAAATACCATACAAAAATACACTGCCAAGTCGCTGTTTTAAACCAAAAACATGGTCGGAGTTTTTTTTTCTCATTATGCACTTTGTGCTGTAGGATTTTTTTATGTTGCACACATTGACCACATAGACCCATTCTTTCATATGTAGGCCTACCAGCTTTCTCTCACGAGATTTGAAGGCACTAGAATTTAGGCGTGCTAGTTTGTCAATAACCCTGGCTCATAAGCCGTACTAGTACGTTGGAAACCCTGAAAGGGTTAATAGTTTGGCTACCAGCCTGCCTTCTGTTTCTTGCCTGATGTCGTACTAAGGCCTGAGGAGAGTTGGGGGCTCACCAGCACCAAGAAACCAATTTGGCCACCCCCTGCTTAGGCGGAAAGGCATAGGAGATTCCCTTTGAAAGGAGCAGGTAAAACTGCTCAATGAGTGTGGTCAAGGGAGCATGTATGAATGGTCTCAGGGAAAACTGACTTGCTTTTGTTTTTGGAAACTGGGAAATAAAGCATTTACATACTGTATTAGAAGTGGGGTGGGTCATTTGCAATTAAGTGGGTCTACAGGTGGGCAGTTTGCAGTTCAGTGGGTCAGCATTGAAAGGGGTGGGGCAGTTGCAATTCATGGGTTAGTATTGAAATCAGAATAGGCAGGTTGTAGTTCATGAAGTCAACATTGAAAATGGGATATGCAAGTTACAGTTCAGAGTCAATATTGGAAGGAGGATAGACAGATTTGCAGTGCGGTAGGTCAAGAGTGGAAGTGGAGTGGGCAGGTTGAGGTTCGCTGGAACAATATTGCAAGTTGGGTGGACAATTTATAGTTAATAGAGCCAACATTTAACTATAATACCTATCCTCATTTATGTTAGGCTGGCATTTTCATAGTTTGTCATCTTAATAATGTTTTATGTTTGAGTTGTAATTGTAATTTTCTTTTGACAGGGTTTCAAGAATCACTTAGAGAGCAGGAACCATGAGCAAATGTCACGTGCTTTTCATGCCAAAGGTGTTGCTGTTCTCAATCTCTTGAAGGCTCAGGCCAGGGTAATTTCTATATCCATTAATGCTTTTGTCAATTATATTTATGACTTCAAAAATGGATCTTGTATGTTTAGCACTTCATGAGAATCTAAATTATTTGAGAATTTTGTTAAATAACATAAGTATTTGCATGTACTATTTATGGGCAATTTTACCTGAAGTTACTGTGTGTACATACTTCTGCCAGGTTACTGCTATCTAATACATGTTAATGAATTAGATACATAACTTGGAATTCTAAATTTTTCCTCTTGTCAATCAGCTTGCTGCACAACGGAATATATTGAAACAAAGGAGGATGGGCATGAAGGGACGCATCTCAAATTGTTCCAGATGTGACTGTTCCTACATGGGAAGCTCTGCTGATCATAGCAAACTTAGAGAGCATTATGTGAGTTTTTCAACCAATTAATATAGATAACTGTTTGATTTATAACAATCTTTTGTCACTATTCTTTAACCCTTTGAGGGTCGACAGGCCCTCTCCGAAACTCGTTCTCAGGGTCGGCCAAATTTAAAAAAAAAAAATTATTTTCTCTTGTGAGAAGATAGAGAATCTTTTCCCGATCATAAAGACACCAAAAGTTTGAAATTTGATAGAAAACTTACAGAATTATGCTCTCGCAAAGTTAGCGGTCTCGGCGATGTTTACGCATTGGCGATTTTGCCTACTTTGAGCCCCATTTTCGGCCAATTTCACTGTACTAGTCGACAAAAAACATGAATATTCCGCTAGAACTCCATTTTATCTATCGAATGAGTGCAAGAAACCACCCATTTATAAATTCAACTATCCAGTACAGTGGTCAGAATTAGCAATTTTGCCAATTTCACACAAATTTCAAAAGATGCCAATTTCCGAATAGGGTCCAGAATAAACAAGAAAGACATTCCTGGCACTAAAATGACATTTCCTCTAGTCATTAGTCACGTCTCAAGGCCCCTCTTATATTCTTTTCCTTTCCACTTTGAATTTTTATTCTCACAAAAAATATAAGATTTACTGTTATGCAGACTACTGCATTAGTGTAAAAAATGGTATAAATATTATTGGTGCACTTGTGAAGAATATTAGACTCGCCAGTTGACGTGTATTGCACGCATGGCACGATTTGTTTACTTTTGAAGTTTGGTAAAAATCGAACATTTCTGCTACTTTGAGCTCAATTTCAAGGCACCTTTCATTGTAAAACCAGTCAAAAAACATCTCAATTTCTATAATATGTCTTCCATTCTATAAAATGAGACCAAGAAAACTAGAATACAACAATAAATACCATACGAAAATACACTGCAAAGTCGCTGATTTATTAAAAAAAAATGGTCAAAGTTTTTTTTTTTCTCATTATGCACTGTATGCTGCAGGATTTTTTTTAGACTGCACACTGACCACATAGACCCATTCTTTCATATGAAGGCCTACCAGCTTTCTCCCACTAGATTTGAGGCCGCTAGAATTTATGAGTACTAGTACGTCAAAAACCCCTACGCGTAAGACGTACTAGTACGACCAAAACCCTCAAAGGGTTAAACTATAGTTCATTATTAGGAAATTTTTCATAATATGGTATTGCTTATTGTGGGATAGATGAGATGAAGGATGTTTTATCACATGATTTAATCATTATTATAAAATTCCTGACTACACATTTACCCTCTCAGTGAATCGCTGTCTTGCCCTGTCATACCAAAAGTCTTGTTTCTACCTGCCCTTCAAACTACATGTCTCACACAGGACTCATGTCTGGCACACCAGACATGAGTTCTGAATCCCTTGATAAATGTTTGTCTTCTCAGATGTCTCAGTATACTACCCCCTTTTTTTTCTCATGAATTCTATGAGTGACATCAACTCCCAAATATATAAACACATTTACTTCCTCTATTAATGCTCCCTCCCTCCATTCTGATACCTAATCTTTCATTGCCTCAATTTTTCATTTCTCTCATCACCTTGCTCTTTCCTGTGTTCACTTTTTAATTTCATTCTTTTACAAACCATACCAAATTCTTCCAACCTTGGCAACTTCTCTTCAGAATCTCCCCAAAGAAACTGTCACAGCAAAAATTAACTGGCACAACTCCCACTTTATATAGGAGGGCCCCACGTATTTGGCACCCTCTTTTTGGTGTTCATTGTTTTCGTTTGCTTTCAATTGAGCCATTGCTCATTATGCTTGGTGCTTTTACTGCTTTCCTGCCATTTTTGCACAATTGTGTAAGGGAAGGATGACTTTTGCCATATTGTAAGGTAAGTATTGTATGTACTGTGTATTTATTTTACTTTTTTTTATATCTACATAAGAGTATAAACATGTTATCAGGCATTTTAGTCACGTTCAGTAATGAAAACCATTCTTTTGAACCCACTGGCAATTTTCGCTTATTGTACGGAGTTGGAAACCTAAGAGCCGTACAGACGGGGGCCCTCCTATATCTTTTTTACTTTGATGTCCATCTCTTTCTTCTTTCTTTCAACACACTGGCCATATCCCACCAAGGCTGGGTGGCCCAAAAAGAAAAACGAAAGTTTCTCTTTTAAATTTAGTAATTTATACAGGAGAAGGGGTTACTAACCCCTTACTCCTGGATGTCCATCTCTTATTCTCCAGAATTCTTCCTCCGCAAGCCATGTGTGTCGTAAGAGGTGACTAAAATGCCGGGAGCAAGGGGCTAGTAACTCCTTCTCCTGTATACATTACTAGAGTTAAAAAGAGAAAAGTGTGTTTTTCTTTTTGGGTCACCCTGCTTCATTGGGATATGGCTAGTTTGTTGAAAGCAGAAGAAAGAGTCCATCTCTTATCAAGGCAGAGCGACCCACAGAAGAAAACACATTCACCATCATTCATTCCATTGTTGTCATGCCTGAAGTGTGTTGACATCACAATTCAGAATACCCTCTGATTATAGCATCCCCACCCCTCCCAAAGTGTGCAGGCACTGAGGGAGTTACCTTGTTTACACTTGAACAGCACACCCGTTAAAAACCACTTGTTTCCATTCACTTCCATGTAACATGTTCACACAAGACTGGTGGATGCTCAAGCCCCTAAAACTCAAGGTCTCTCTTACCCTCTTTTTCCAGTTGCTCCTGGGACAAACTCTACCCCACCTACCTTCCACTCTAGATTTATACACCCCTCTCCTTCCTCTACTTACTCAGACTACATCAACATTCCCTCCTCAGCCCTCTGAATTATATATACCTTTGGGGACCTCGCATCACCTTATAATTTCTGTGCTTTGAATTGTCTGCATTGTAATTGTGTCACACATTGTTCTCATCTTCACTGCCTCTAGCCTCCTTGCTGCAACATTCAAAACCCATGCCTCACTCTCATATAAAAGTGTTGGTAACACTGTGCTCTGGTACATTCACTTTTATTGCTTCCATTAATAAAAATTATAGAGGAATAAGTTTACTGAGTATACCAGGAAAAGTATACAGTAGTGTTATAATTGAAAGAATTAGAGGTAAGACAGAATGTAGAATTGCGGATGAGCAAGGAGGCTTCAGAGTGGGTAGGGGATGTGTAGATCAAGTGTTTACATTGAAGCATATATGTGAACAGTATTTAGATAAAGGTAGGGAAGTTTTTATTGCATTTATGGATTTAGAAAAGGCATATGATAGAGTGGATAGAGGAGCAATGTGGCAGATGTTGCAAGTTTATGGAATAGGTGGTAAGTTACTAAATGCTGTAAAGAGCTTTTATGAGGATAGTGAGGCTTCAGGTTAGGGTGTGTAGAAGAGAGGGAGAATACTTCCCGGTAAAAGTAGGTCTTAGACAGGGATGTGTAATGTCACCATGGTTGTTTAATATATTTATAGATGGGGTTGTAAAAGAAGTAAATGCTAGGGTGTTCGGGAGAGGGGTGGGGTTAAATTATGGGGAATCAAATTCAAAATGGGAATTGACACAGTTACTTTTTGCTGATGATACTGTGCTTATGGGAGATTCTAAAGAAAAATTGCAAAGGTTAGTGGATGAGTTTGAGAATGTGTGTAAAGGTAGAAAGTTGAAAGTGAGCATAGAAAAGAGTAAGGTGATGAGGGTATCAAATGATTTAGATAAAGAAAAATTGGATATCAAATTGGGGAGGAGGAGTATGGAAGAAGTGAATGTTTTCAGATACTTGGGAGTTGACGTGTCGGCGGATGGATTTATGAAGGATGAGGTTAATCATAGAATTGATGAGGGAAAAAAGGTGAGTGGTGCGTTGAGGTATATGTGGAGTCAAAAAACGTTATCTATGGAGGCAAAGAAGGGAATGTATGAAAGTATAGTAGTACCAACACTCTTATGTGGATGTGAAGCTTGGGTGGTAAATGCAGCAGCGAGGAGACGGTTGGAGGCAGTGGAGATGTCCTGTCTAAGGGCAATGTGTGGTGTAAATATTATGCAGAAAATTCGGAGTGTGGAAATTAGGAGAAGGTGTGGAGTTAATAAAAGCATTAGTCAGAGGGCAGAAGAGGGGTTGTTGAGGTGGTTTGGTCATTTAGAGAGAATGGATCAAAGTAGAATGACATGGAAAGCATATAAATCTATAGGGGAAGGAAAGAGGGGTAGGGGTCGTCCTCGAAAGGGTTGGAAAGAGGGGGTAAAGGAGGTTTTGTGGGCGAGGGGCTTGGACTTCCAGCAAGCGTGCATGAGCGTGTTAGATAGGAGTGAATGGAGACGAATGATACTTGGGACCTGACGATCTGTTGGAGTGTGAGCAGGGTAATATTTAGTGAAGGGATTCAGGGAAACTGGTTATTTTCTTATAGTCGGACTTGAGTCCTGGAAATGGGAAGTACAATGCCTGCACTTTAAAGGAGGGGTTTGGGATATTGGCAGTTTGGGGGGATATGTTGTGTATCTTTATACGTATATGCTTCTAAACTGTTGTATTCTGAGCACCTCTGCAAAAGCAGTGATAATGTGTGAGTGTGGTGAAAGTGTTGAATGATGATGAAAGTATTTTCTTTTTGGGGATTTTCTTTCTTTTTTTTGGGTCACCCTGCCTCGGTGGGAGACAACCAACTTGTTGAAAAAAAAAAATAATAAACTATTTTCTTTCCACAGATACCTCAATGCACCACCCACTGTTTTTTCCCTCCTCATCTGTTCTGTGGTTTACCTCATCTTTCGTAGACCCATCTACTGACATGTCCACTCCTGAATACCTAAATCATGTGCCATCCTCATCCTCCATCTCTCTCCCTCTAATTGTTACTTAGAATTTTGGTTACTTCATCACCTTGCTCCTTTTTATGTTCACTTTTAATTCCTTTTTTTAGTATACCATTCCAAATTCATCCACTAAGCTTTACAACTTGTCTTCAGAATCCCCTAAAAGAAGAATAACTGAGAGATCTCCCACTTTGTATCAAATTCAATAACATTTAATCCCACACCCCCTCTCAACACTAGCATTCACTTCATTTATAACACTATTTATATATCTGTTATACAACCATGATGCCATCACACTTAGCAAAGACTTGGGAAGAGGCCTGATGACCGAACATAGGATATAGACTCTTGGGACAGAGGCTGCAGATCTCACTTAGAGAAATAACCTAGTTCATGCCCATGGGCACGACCTACTTCCACATTGAACAAATGTGACACCACCTACGTCTGCTGCACCTCTCCTGCCTACGGTATATAAGCTACTTCTCGGCAATATTCTGTATTCTATTCAAGATTGATGGACTGACCACATCGACTCAAAGTTGAGGGACTGATTACCTCATTCTTCTCCTGTTCTTCATGATTCTCCTTTGTATGGACTGATGAAGCCACTGTGTGGCGAAACGTTTCCTCAATAAAGATACCCAAGAGTTGTACATGTGTCTAATTTATCAATGTTTCGGTTCTCTGAACCATTCATCTACAATCCTGTAGCTTCTTGGGATCTTAATACTTGGAAATAACCTAGTGGTGAGCATAGTGCCCAGTATATTGCCAGGTTCAGATCAGCTGAATAACCTCTGCTGCCAATGTTCTTCTGGCAACTCTAAGAATAGCTTTCAGGAATCTCAACCAAATCATATAGAGCCCTTTGTAGAACATATGTTTGGTCTATCATAAAGTATGCAGCACCTGCATGGAACCTACACCTGAAAAAAACATTAAGAAACTGGAGACAGTACAGAGGTGTGCAGTGAGACTAATTCCAGAGCTAAGAGGTATGAGTAATGAGGAGAGGCTAACAGAATTTTTTCTGACCACATTGGAAGACAAGAACTGTGGGAGACAACATACATTATAAACAGGGATAGGCTGCATGAGGAGGAAACAGGTACTTCCTTAGGGGCTAACTTGGGTTAAAGACATAGCTAAGGCACAAGGATGTTAAGAAGTATTTGTTCAGCTTAAGGGTGATCAGGAAGTGAATTGATCTCGATTAGGAAATGGAGACAGCAGGCTCCATGCATAGTTTTAAGAGCAGGTAGGAGAGAGTGAATCTGGTATGGCAAGTTGAGAGGTGGGGCCAGGAGCTGAGACTCGATGGCTGTAACCACATTTAGGTAAGTACTTCTCTGTCTAAGGCCTGCATACCATCACCTGAGCATTATTCTCTTCACTGGCCATCTCCTATCAAGGCAGTGTGATCCAAAAGAGAAAACACAGTCACCATCATTCATTCAATCATTGTCTTGCTAGAAGTGTCTGGACATAGCAATTCAGATTACCCTCTGACTGCAGCATTCCCATCCTACCTCCAGGACTCAAGTCCAGCTAAACGGTTTCTCTGAATCCCTTTATAAATGGTACATCTGTTAAAAACCACTTGTCTCCACTCACTTCGATCTAATGCACATACAGAAGCCTATTGAATATTCAAATTCCTAGCACTCAAAAATCTCTTTACCCCCCCCCCCCTTCCTCCAGCCATTCCTATCTTCCACTGCCAGTTTATACACCCTCTCCATCACCTCTACATACCTAAATCACCTCAGCAATCCCTCCTCAGACCTTTGACTTATACCCCATATTTCCTTTTAATTTCCATTCCCTAACTTTTCTGCATATATTCACACCAGACATTGATATTGTGTTATGTTGATTTAACAAGGTTAGGTGAAGCTGCTAAGTTTTATTGTATGATAAATTAATGCCATAATTATTCACAAGAATATCAATACACAGTGTAAATATTTTAAAGATATCTATTTTTAAGTCATGTTGGCTAGTTGACCAATTCTGCCTAAATATACTAGAAACAGCCGATGTGTTGAAAACATAAATTCATAAAGTATTCCACTAAAACATTCAGAATGTTACCTATTTCCATTCAATATAGTACCTCTTTTTTTTTTTATTACCACCATGTATAATCATCTTTTCCTTCCTTTATTCGTAACTTTACCTCGCATAATAATCTCTCAGTTGCTTTTTGTACTTTTTTTTCATTCCTTTCTCACCTTCAAAGAAAAATTATCCTGCATGTGGCATTCAAGAGTTCTTTTTCTTCAGCTGATCACGACTTTCGCAAAATGCTCACCATGTCGTATCTGGTTCAAGAATAGAGCTGATTTGGAAATTCATCGCCTCTCAGACATTCATCTGATGGTAAGATCTTTCTGCAAGTGAGTTTTATATCACCTTGTCATTCACTCATGGTGGAAACTCTTACATTTTTATGATAATATTAGTTTAAGGCTACTTCTTTTTATTCTTGAGACATTCTTACAAATTATTTCTAGTTTTGTGTAGTATAATATATTTCAGCAAAATATAATTAAAAATAGAGTGTAACAAGATAGTTTAGTATACTGTATATAACCTTTATTTCCATAAGAATTGGTTTGTTCAAGTTCACTAAGGTTCCTTATCCCATTCATTGCCTGAACTAGTTACAAGATGCAATAAACAGTCTTTGTGCATAGTTTTGAATTATACCAACACTGTACTCTATATGAATGAATTGTGAGATGATAAGTTACTATTTGGGGGTAACCTTATATCTCCAGACATTTGAGATGCCTTTATATTTTAAAGATTGCAGTATCTTAATTAAACATTTGCCAAAGAATGCCACTTGCTTTTATTGATTATTATGATCATTGTATATATAAAAGTTACTTTTTCTTACCATAAAACAAAAATGTCTGGAAAGTATATATGAGAATAGCTTTGGTAAAAATACAGGACTTACCTGCCTGTTCTTAAAGATTACATTTGCCAGTGAAAGTTCCTGTGTTTAAATCTTATGCAGTGCAAAATAAAACACACAGGTAAGGTAGGCAGGTAAGCAAGGCTCCACATACTTACTGTCCCTGGTCACCTAACAGAAAATATGTGGCTGGGGATGTTGTTGAGGGTTGTGTCTTGGGGGCATTAAATGATGCTGTAAAGGTTTCTAAACCTAGACCTTGAAGTACTCCTGAAGTAGAAGAAAAAGCTAGCCTGTAAACATTAGCTGTAAGTGTACAACAGAAAATATAGGATGTGAAACAAAAAATGCAATTGAAATTAAGCAAGGAAGGCTTATTCATTGCAAGGACAATTTTTTTAGTGGAGAAAATAGATCAGGCTGCTCCTCCCCTTCTCCTGCTTAGTTTTAAAGTGTGAATGTAGTCACAGTTGGTGTGAGTAAGGGAGGATTCCTTTCCTGGCCACATCGTAGTGCTTTTCGAGGGTCATCATGGCTAGTGCATTACCTCCTCAGTGTCTTTCTCTTTACCAGGAAAATGCACATTGAGTACCATGGGGAGTGGAAAAGAATCTTTCCTCCGTAAGCCATGCGTGTAGTATTAGGCGACTAAAATGCCGGGAGCAATGGGCTAGTAACCCCTTCTCCTGTAGACATTTACTAAAAAAGAGAAGAAGAAAAACTTTATAAAACTGGGATGCTTGAATGTGCGTGGATGTAGTGCGGATGACAAGAAACAGATGATTGCTGATGTTATGAATGAAAAGAAGTTGGATGTCCTGGCCCTGGCGAAACAAAGCTGAAGGGGGTAGGGGAGTTTCGGTGGGGGGAAATTAAATGGGATTAAATCTGGAGTATTGATAGGTATAGAGCAAAGGGAGGGGTAGCAGTAATGTTGAAGGATCAGTCTATGGAAGAGAAAGAGGAATATGAATGTGTAAATTCAGACTCGATCGTGGATTAAAGTAAAATTGGATGCGGAAAAGTGGGGTCTTAAATAGGGTTTGCACCTGGAGAAGTGAGGAATGCAGAGGTAGAGAGAGAGATTTTGGGAGATGTTAGTAACATGTATAGAGCCTTTGAAACAAGTGAGAGAGTAATTGTGGTTAGGGGACCTGAGAATGCTAAAGTAGGAGAAACTTTTAGTGAGGATTGTGGTAGGGTTAAGTTTGGGGTGCCAGGTGTAAATGATAATGGGAGCCCTTTGATTGAACTGTTTCCCTCCCGCTCCTCGCTCGCTAAGGGGTTTAGTTATGGGTAATAATATTTTAAGAAAAAATAGAGCAAAAATAAGTACCTTTCTCACTCTCGTCGCGTGTGTCTCTCTAGCCCCTCCCCCTACCCCGGCCGCAAGTGACCGTAGTTTGTGGGATTTATGTTATGAGATAAAAGACTTCAGGATGTACTTGGTTATAGAAGGGGCCCAGATTATATCAGTCACTTTCTAGGTTGTAGCTACACTTGTGAGTAAAAGGTAGTTGGGATACAAGGAGAATTAGATAAAGCATCGGGAAGAGAGAGGTGAGGTTTATAAACTAAAAAGAGGAGGCAGTTAGGGTAAGATTATAAAACAGCTATTGGAGGATAGATTGGGCTAATGACGAGCATAGGCAATGGGGTCAAATGAGGTATTATGGGGTAGGTTTAAAAATGTAGTGTTAGTAGTGTTCAGCAGAAGGTTTGTGCGTTACAGGAAGTAGGTGCGGGAGGGAAGAGGAGTGGATGGTGGATGTTGATGTAAAAGAGAGAGTAGTAAGGGAGAAAATGTTAGCTTATGAGAAATTTTACCAAAGTAGAAGTGATGCAAGGAGGAAGAGTATATGGAGGAAAAAGAGGAGGTTAGTGAGTGTGAAGCAATGTAAAAAGAGAGCAATGTGGAGAGTGGGTGAAAGGGGGATGTTATCAACAATTTTGTTGGAAAATAAAAAAAGTTTTGGAGTGAGTGAGATTAAAAAAGTTAGGAAGCCTAGAGAACAAATGGATTTCGTCAGTTAAAAATAGTGTGAGGAGCGTTACTTAAATGGAGAGTTAGAGGTATTGGGAAGATGGAGGAATATTTGAGGATTATTTAATGTTGAGAAGATAGGGATGCTGTGTTCGTGTATAGGGAGGACAAGGAGGAATAACATCTGTAGGTGTGAGAAGAGCCAGTTGGGTGTGTGGGGGAAGTTCGTGAGGAGTAGGTAAATTGAAAGGGGGTAAGGCAGCCGGGATTGGAGGGATTAAAGATAGAAATGTTAAAGCAGGGTGGGGTTATAGTTTTGGAGTGGTGGTGCAATTTATTTAATAAATGTATGGAAGAGGGTAAAGTGTACCTAGGGATTGGCAAGAGGAGAATGCCATTAGTTCCTTTGTATAAAGGCCAAAGGGGACAAAAGAGAGTGCAAAAATTATGTAGGGGGATAAGTCTGTTGAGTATACATGGTTAAGTGTATGGTAGGTAGAGTTATTTTGAAAGAATTAAAGAGTAAGGATGAGAGAATAGGAATAGCAGATGACAAGGAGGCTTTAGGAAAGGTAGGGAGTGTGTGGACCAGGTGTTTACAGTGAACATGTAAGTGAACAGTATTTAGATTAAGGCTAAAGAGGTCTTTGTGGATTTATGGAATTTGGAAAAAAGCGGTTTGACAGGTGTATGGGGAGTTTTGGAATCGAGTGTGAGGAGAATGGTGTGTTGGGGATTTCAATGTTAAAGTGGGTTTATAAAATTATTATAGAGGGAGTAGTGCAAGTAGTACGTAAATTTGGGTGCCAGGGGTAAATGTAAATGGGGATCCTTTAATTGACTTATGTGGTAAGGAAAGAAATTTTGGTAATAAGTAATACATATTTCCTTGATAAAAGAGGATAAATAAATATACAAGGTACGAGGTTGCACGTATGAAAGTGCTTGTTAGATTTTGTATTTGGTGGATAAAAAGGTTGATGGTAGGCTCCAGGTGTGACATGTTTATAGAGGGGCAACTGATTTATCGGATCATTTATTTAGTTGTTAGCTACAGTTTAGTGTTAGAGGTAGAGGGAACGGAGGAAGTGGCAACAACAAGTAAGAGGGAGGTGAAAAGTGTATATAAATTAAGGGAGGAGGAAGTTCGGGCGAGATATAAGCGACTGTTGGCAGAAAGGTAGGCTAGTGCAAAGGATGGAGTAGTGGGGGGGTTTGATTGAGGGGTTGGCATAGTTTTAAAAAATGCAGTATTAGAATGTGGGGCAGAAGTTTGTGGGTTATAGGAGGGTGGGGCAGGAGGAAAGGAGGTGGAGTGATTGGTGGATGATGAAGTAAGGGGTGTGATAAAAGAGAAAAGGTTAGCTTACGAGAGGTTTTTACAAAGCAGAAGTGTGATAAGATGAGCAGAGTATAAGGAGAGTAAAAGAAAGGTGAAGAGAGTGGTGAGAGATGCAAAAGGAGAGCAGATGAAAGAGTGGGAGAAGGTACTGTCAAGAAATTTTAATGAAAATAAGAAAAATTTTTGGAGCGAAGTAAAACAAGTTAGAAAAGCCTAAGGAAAAAAGGTTAAATGGATTGTCAGTTATAAACAGAGTAGCGGGAGTTGTAGTTAGTAGATGGGGAGGGGGGGTAGAGGTAGATGGCGAGAATACTTTTCAGGAACTTTTAAATGTTTAAGGAAGAAAGGAGGCGGTAATTTCATGCACTGGCCAGGGAGGTATTCATCTTTTAGGAGTAAAGAAGAGAGAATGTAAGTGTGGTGGAGGTACGTGAGCATTATGTAGAACGAAGGGGGTTAAAGCAGCTGGTACTGATGGGATCATGACAGAAATGTTAAAAGCAGGGGGGGATTATAGTGTTGGACTGTGGTTGGTTATTTTTGTTTAATAAATGTATGAAAAGAGGGGAAGGTACCTAGGGATTAAATTATTTAAATTAATTTTAATATATTAAATATTTTCGGCAGAGAGCATGTATTGTCCTTTATATAAGGGAAAGGAGACAAAAGTGATTGTAAAAATTATAGAGGAATAGTTTATGAGTATACCAGGAAAAGTATACGGTAGGGTTATAATTGAAAGAATTAGAGTAAGACAGAATGTAGGATTCGCGGATGAGCAAGGTGGCCTTCAGTTTGGGTTAGGGGATGGTGTTGATCATGTGTTTACATTGAAAAAGTATATATTGTGAACAGTATTGTGATAAGGTAGGGAGTTTTTATTGCATTTTTGGATTCTAGAAAAGGCATATGATGGAGTGGATACGGGAGCAATGTGGCAGATGTGCATGTATATGGAAATAGGTGGTAAGGTTACTAAAATGCTGTAAGAGCTTTTATGAGGATAGTGAGGCTCAGGTTAGGCGTGTGTAAAAGATAGAGGGAGAATCCTTCCCGGTAAAAGTAGGTCTTAGACAGGGAGGTGTAATGTCACCATGGTTGTTTAATATATTTATAGATGAGGTTGTAAA